GGGGGTCAGGTTCCAGTCCTTCACCCACAGCTGCTGCCCTGGCTGGAATGGGTGTACAGGAGAGAAAAGACTTATGGGGAGTCCTTCTGTCACCCATTTAACTATCTGTGCTGACACTGTACGCAGTGCTTTCAGCTGATTGCTAACTTCTGTCTCACCCTTTTCCCTGGGTGTTCCAGGCAGGGAATGAAGGAGAGGTGGGGATCTGGCAAAAGGGATTTCATAGGAGGAATATCCTGTAGTTTTCTGTGGGGAACACCTGATTTTTAGTAGGACCAAAGGAAAGGTTTGTGGCCAGGTTAGGTGAGCTTCTTGGCATAGTTGCTGAGTCCGGTTTTTATAGTTCTATTCATACATTCTACTTTGGCTGAGCTCTGGGGCCTATAAGTAGTATGTAGTTTCCAACTTATGCCCAACACCCGAGCTGTTTCCTGTACTACTTCCACTACAAATGTTGGTTCATTGTCTGACCCCATCTACGAGGGGAGTCCATATCTTGGGGTGATTTCCCGTAACAGGATTCGTGTTACTTCCCTGGCTTTTTCTGTGCAGGTTGGACAGGTTTCCATCCATCATGAACAGGTGCACACCATTACTAGAAGGTAGCAATAGCCCCCCACTCTTGGGTAGCTCGGTGAAGTCTACCACCAGATTTTCAAACAGCCCAGCTCCTACAGACTGGATGCCAGGTGGTGGCGAGGGACCTTGCCCTGGATTGTTTTTGTAACAAGTTACCCATCCTTGGCTGGCTTCTTTTGTGAATATTGCAAGTTGAGGGATATAAAAACACTTTTCCAGCAGCTGTTCTGTGACCTCTGGCCCAAATGAGTGGCTGAGTGGAGGTTGCTGATCAGGGAGGGGGGCCAGTAACCCAGGGATTACTGTTCCTGCACCGGGCAAGTGCCGCCACCCAGTTTTGCCCTGCGTGGCCCCTTCTTGTTGTAGCCCCTGTTGTTCTCCTCGTCTATCTGCTGGGCCGGCTTCTGACATCCAAGGGAGGAGAGGCGCGGTGCTGACGGCCCCCCCGGTTCCATGGCTGCTCTTTTTGCTCCTTGGTCAGCTTTTTGATTTTCTCGAGCCTCCTTTCTGTGAACAACTTCATCTCTGGGTTGGGAAGTGGTTGGTCCCTTAAGTCTGGATGACTAGAGCACACATTTTCTAGGACTTCCACGCAATCGTGTCCAGGGGTCTGTCACCAATGGGCAATAGCGTGGCTGGGTTGAGCATTTTTACGGCCTCCGGCACTATCCGGGAGTCCTCACACGGTAGGCCGCCCTGGTATTTGGTGAGCCTGGAGTTGGTTAACCAACGATGTTCTTTGGCATTTATTAACGTCACCACTGAGTGGGGGACACGGACTGTCAGACTCTGGTCTAGGGTGACTTTGTCGGCTTCTTGCACCAAGAGAGCGGTGGCAGCCAGCGCCTGCAGGCGTGGGGACCATCCGCTAGTTACCCCATCTAGTGGCTTAGATAGGTATGCCACGGGCCTGGGCCAGGACCCTGCGGTCTGCTCTAGAACTGCCACCGCTGTTTTCTTTTTCTCTGTTACACACAAGGTGAAAGGTTCAGAGACATCAGCAGCCCCAGCGAGGGAGCGTCTGGCGCTCTGTTTGTAGTTGTTGGAAGGCTGCCTGTTGCTTGGCTCCCCGCGGCAGTGGGTCCTTTCCTCCCCTCTTTGCTGCTTCTTAAAGGGGGTGGGCCATATGGCAAAGTTGGTAACCATAACCCACAGAACCCTGCTGCTCCCAGGAATTCCCGGACTGTCTTCGAGTCGTCGCCACTTCGAGTCATCTGTACCACTCTCTTCTGCTCCGCCCCCATGCTTCTTTCTCCTTGTTTTATAGGAAATCCAAGCTTTTCGCTCGAGGTTGGCACAGCTGGGCTTTTTTCTTGGACACCTTATATGGGGTGGGCTTGTGACCAACTGAAGCTGTGTGTATTGATTCGGATGCCCGGGGTCCCCAGTTACCAACAGCCAGACTCTCATAACAGCTTTTTCATCCAGCGTCCCCTCTGATGGCCACCCAACCTGGAAAGTTGGCCACGCTAATTCACGAAGGGTTCTAAGTCTCCCTGCCTGCATCTTTACTCCATAATCCCGTGCACCAAATCCCTTTTTAAAATTTTTAACATGATCTGGAGTGGGGTTCCTTCTTGCCTCTGAGTCCCCCACCCCCATCATGACACAAGGTAGCCACCAGTCACTTTGCTGAACTCTTCCCATTCCTCTCGTGAAGATTTTTCAGCTGCCTCTTAGCTTCGGTGAGTCAGTATAATAAGCCCTTGATCTGGAGGTCCTGCCGAGCTATTGGCCGACTCCATGCCCTTGGCTGAATGAGGGTCGCCACCGGTTAGGAGAGCAGCTCAGCACACGCTTCCAGCTTTCTGATTCCTTAAAGTCTTGGTAAGCCAGACACACATACATACTCACACACACATGCCAGTGCACCAGGACACATAACAGTCCCCAAAATCCTGTACTGCCCGCGGGCAACCATGGTTTCTCGTCACCGATATTTGGACGATACTCGGATGGTGCCCTGGGAGGTGATCAAGCTCCCCTTCTGCCTCCTAGCAGGCTGACTGACTGACTGTGGGGCCCCCTCATAACCTACTGCAGTTCAGACATCCAGAAGGTGACCGTTCTTCCTCCTGCTAGGTCCCCGGAGTCAGAAGCAGGCTGGCTCTCAGCTGGTGTAAGCGACCCACATGTGTCAAATATCCCACCTGCACTCAGCAGGTCGTTTTCCCCAGATCAAGGGCCAGCCGGACTGCCGGCTTCCTGGGGTCAGCAATAGCCATGCTACCAGTCCCTCCAGTGGCTGGGGAAGCTTAAGCTAAGAGTTTCCCGGCCAACACACCAGTAATGTTACCGGAGCCACCAAAGGAAATGCTAACACCAAGCACAATGGTGGAAAAGGAAGGACTTTATTTGCTAGCACCAAACTCAGTGGATTCACATCCAGAGATGAGTCCCGAACAAAGGCCGTGTGGTGCTTCTCTAAGTTCTTGTTTCCAGGATTTATGGAGTGTGAGGCAATTGGCTACTTTGTATTTTTATTTATTTTTCATTTTTATTGTGATTTGGGTGAAAATTTACAGAGTAAATTCACTTTCCATACAGCAGTTCACATACACTTTGTCTCATGACATTGACCACAATTCACCACAATGCAACAGCTCCCCTCCCACTTCCTCCTGACAATCACCTCTTCTCTGTGTCCATCCCTCCATGCACTCCTGCCCCCTAAGATATCTCCCTGTGCATAAACAGCCCTTCTTTCTCCCATGATTGTTCTCTCCAAGGAGTGTGTCTACCTCAGGTAAATGTTCAACTCTAAGCCTGTCTTTTGTTTGGCTGGAAGCCACAGGTGTGGGTTCAATTCCAGACCTAAAGGGCAGCTAGGGGCCGTAGTCTCAGTGGTTCCACCAGGCTCTATCAGATCAGCAAACCTGGCCATCCCCCCATTTTTTTTCCCAAATGGTTTTGAGTTTTGTTCCACATTGTTCCCTCTCTCTCTCCAGGATCTCCTACATAGATCCCCCTCTGAGTGGTTGCTCTGTAGGAGCTCTGGTAGCGCAGTGCCTAAGGCACTTGACTGCTCACCAGAAGGCTGGCGGTTCAAACCCACCAGCCACTCCTCAGAAGGAAGGTTGGGCAATCCTACTTCCATAGTGATACTGCCTTGGAAACCCAAGGAGGGGTCGCTATGAGTCGGGGCCGACTCGATGGCAACAACAACAACAACAACAACAACTGAGTGGTTGACAGTGGTAACCGAGTACCATCTAGTTCTTCTGGTCTCATAGTCGTATAGGCTGCAGATCGCATGGTATACCAGTCATTAAGACTAACTCTTTCCATGAATCTTTGGTTTTCTTCATTCTTCTTTGCTCTGGACGAGGAGAGACCCATCATTGCATCTAGATGGCTGCTTGCTAGCTTTTACAATCCCAGTCGCTACTCGGCAATTGGCTACTTTTGAAGGACACTTGCTAGAAAAGAAGCTCAGGAAGGGAGAGGAGCAGAAGAAGGGAAGGGGAGTCCAGTACAGGAATTTTCCATTCTTTTTTGTTTTACGATCTAGGCATGTCTGCCTCAGTCAGAGTCAAATGTGGCTTGACTGCATTCAATTGGATATGTTGTTCAAGCAATACAATACAATAAAAACACATTAAAGTAGAAAAGTGGAAAATGCATCCTATGCAATTTTAATCAACTGAGCAGCTAGCAGGATGATAGAAATGTCAGATACAATTGATGTTATTATTATTGTTGTAATTAGTATCATTTTTACGTTTCTAACTGGACAATTTTCCAGTATCATCACTTGATGAATTAGAGACAGTCTGGTTTATATGCATATCCACCCACATGTACACACACATACACACATGGATACATGTACAAATGCAGGCATGTGTGTGTATATCATGCTTCTCTTGGAATATGATTGTTTGCTATGTGCTTGCATTCTGTGTGAATAAAAAAACAACTGAACTTTGTTAGTAGCCATACACTTTACATATTTCTAGTAAGAGGAGGAGGTTTTATATTACTTACAGGCAGAGCAGAGCCTGGAGACGCTGGAGTCACGGCTCATGAGGACAAAGGGGCTCATGGTTGGGAAACATGCAGCAGTTAGTGCAGCCATGTTCAGCAGTGACCAACTGGGATGAACAGTAAGAGCCACAAGAACTTGCAAGGTGGAGGAGAGGGTGTAAAATGTTACAAAGGTGCTCACCAGGACAAGGATGGTTTGGGTGGCTCTGGTCTCAGGGGAGGGTCTGGGGGAGAGGTTGTTTCTGTGAAGGTGTTGGACCCGCTGCTTGTGTCTGTGCAGGATGAAAACCATGGAGCCGCTGGCCCAGGACATGAGCCCCAAAGACACAACATCAGGAGCTGTTAGCAGGGCTGCATACAGTGAGTCTGAGGTTTTGTCATGGCGAACGGAAGAACAGAAGCCATAGCCTTTTATGTTTGTGATACTTCTGTTGCCCCAATTGCTAGTCATGTACATAGGAAAAATTATATTTACCAACATGTGGGCAATCCAGCACAGGACAATGGTGAAGCCCATGCACTTGGGGGCCTTCACCTTCAGCTCCGCCCACCTGGAGTTCCCAGGGCTGATGGTGATGGCCTGCAACATACTCAGGAGGCAGGTGCTGCCAATGGACACACCTCTGCCCACCCTGTGAACATACAGAACGAACTTGCATCCAAAATCATCAATGAAATCTTTCCACCCAAAAGCTGCTATAGTGTGGGGGATTCCTTTAGAGAGAATGAGCATGGAGTTGGCAACAGTCAGGTGGCTGAGAATCAAATCTATGGACCTTAACCTGCGCTCAGTGAAGTAGAGGAAGAGATAACGGTAAAGAAGAGAGAAATTCCCCAGGGTTCCAAGTGCAGTCTGTGATAGGAAGATCATCCCGATTGTCAAATCCATGGCAGCCATCTCATCATTTCCCAGTGACTGATATGTGTCTTCAGAGCCAGAGGGTCCTGCATGGGAAGATAAGACATGGACCACATGTATCATGTCAACTGAAATCCACTGTTATCCAATTCCCATGAATTCCCACTTAGACACATTGAGTTAGTTTTCCTTCATTAAGAGATTTCCTAGTGTTGGATGTATAATCTAAGGGCACTTGGAATGTAGGCTATGAAGATGGGTAACTTCTTTATTCTCCACCAACCCACAAGGCAGACACCACTATTAGTTCATTATAATAATAAGGAGAACTTAGGCACAGAGAGGTTAAGTGATCGGTTTCAGTTCTTACGCTGGTTAGGGCCGAGTGGGGACTTGAACCTGGCTGAGCTGGTTGCAAAGACAGTACATTTAACCACCACACTCTGCTAACCAAGTGTGAAAAATAGTATGGAGGTGGAGGCGACTTACCTCCTCCAACATCATGAGGGAAGAGAATCACCATCAGCATTAGCCCAAGGCTGATTCCTATGGGTTGTAAGTCAGACATCCTTCCTGTCTTCAACTTTTTCCCAATTCTGGCACCAGTCATCCCTCCTATGGCACTCTCTACCTCTTTGATAATCTGTTGTTATGGCCACCCAGAACTCATAGGCCATACTTGCCATTATGGGGTTTATTAGGGAAATAACGGACTACAATATGGGATCAGGATCAGGAAGCATATGGTCAAAGTCCCCCTTCTTCAGTAAAGAATAGCTCTCTCAGCTCCACTTGCCCACATGGGGCTCCTCTCAGCCCCCTCAAAACAGGCTTCTCTCAGTCTCCAGCCCCTGACCCTTGGTCTGGACTCTGCCTTGCTTAGGCAAGCTCTTTTAGCTCTGCTGATATGTGCCCAGAGACACCCTAGTGTCTGAAGGCACTCAGCCCTCTTGCTCCATGAGTCAGCACACCCTCTGTACCTGCCTTGCTCTGTGGACTGGGAAGCCCACTGCAACCATCTCATGTCAGTCTCCTGGTTCTGCTGCTAGTGTTTCTGTGTCACTCAATCCTGCTGTAGTTGCTGTTGCTTCTTGCCGTCTCTGATGTTACAGCTGTGTCTGTCTCCTGGGTCTAAGAGGTTCTCAGTCCAGGGACCGCAGGTCCAATAGACATACTCTGCTTCTAGTTCTTCTTCTTGGATACTATCAAGGTTCCCTCCAGGCTCTGGAATTGGCTCCCTTTAAATCTAACAGGATAGCAGGACTGACCATCCCCTCCAAGGGCTCCATGCACCTTCCTTTTTCCATAATCCCACCCAATCATTGTGGAAGTTATGAGACCAGTGAGAAAGGTCAATTAAGAGCGATTCATCACACCACACTTAGCTAGTTAGCTTCATTCTTACCATTATCCAATTCTGTATTTAGTTTTGTGTTCACATCCTGTCATTTTAATTTACTTTGGTGATATTTTATTTTATAATGTTGGTTGTAACAAATTTCCACTGATGTATTAAAATTCATTCCACAGGTCAATAGCAATTATGAATAAAACTTTAAACATTTTAATGAGATATTTATCCACTGGTTGCAGTAGACTTCTATAGGAACCCACCCCGTGGGCAGGTTGGACTCAATGAATCCAAGATGAGCTGAATGTTAGGATGGAAACAGAATGATGCCTTTGCTTTTATGGCAGGAACAAAATACAGTGACATTGATCACAGGAATTATTGAACACTGCCATATTGGGCCCTAAACTATGGGACAGGAAACACTAATAAGTGATAAAATGTGAAGAATAGAAAGTAAACCATTGCTACTTTCACTTCCTATACTCATCAATTAATATATAAGTTGAGTAAAAGTCTGAGCAGTGAGGTGAGATTTGAAAGATATTGACGTATGAGACACCTGTGGAAAAGGAAATCTGTGAGCGTGACATCCTGTGCATTTTATAAGTTGAAATGGTTGGGTTTTTTTTTTTTTTTGCTATTGGAATACTTTAAACCAGAGAAAATAGCACAAGATACATGTGAGCTTGTCAGTTGCTGTGTGAAACCCATTATTATCTAGCTCCCTTTTCCTTAAATGCTGCTTCCCTAACTTTAGAGGGAAAATACTGTCTCCATAATCAACTGACCGTGGATGTTTCCTGGGAGATACGCTTACTGTCTCCATTAATGCATCGTGCACCAGAATTAGAGAAAACATTTCTATTCCAGTAACAACCATTCAGATACACTATTCTGCACAGGATTCTACAATTCACGGAGAGTCCCCCTGGTCTGTGTTACAAGTCTGGCGGTGATCCGGGCTCACCTCCTGTAACCCTGACGGTTCTCCTGTTTCCTGTGCAGTGGACCGGACAGCAGATTGATTCAGAACCACAGCCTTGAAGCACCTTGAAACTCAGGTTTCATGATCACTGGGATTAAATACCAAAACTTCCTGTTCTTGAGACTGTCACTAAATACTTGAGGAGCTGCCAGAGACTGGGGTAGGGTTCATGGCCCCATCTCTCTGTTGTAATTCAGCCCAAAGTCCTGCTTCCTCTGTGACACTGGACAAGCTTGGAACCCAGACTTCCTTATTTCAATGTGATCACTTACCCAGATGCTGATGTACCTCCTTGCCCTACAGACTCTGCCTCTCAGACTGAAATAGAAAGCACTCACCTGACTCCTCTCCAGGCCACTGGGCTCAGTGTGACGGTCATGACATCCAGGGCAAGTGTCTGAGGGAGGCAGCCAGACCCTGAGGTGCAGGTATTTGACTCTGTATTCCGCCTCCCCCCCCCCAAAACTGAAATTATCATTTCACCTCCAGTGCCATTGACAGGGCAGACTTGGGGAGCTGAGATCATCTCTGGAAAATGTTTCCCCAGTTGCTAATTACCAAAACCAATTACGAGTTTCTGGTAAGTATCTCCAAAGAGACCTGGAAGTGCTTGGGAGAGGCTCTTTCTTGTCTAGGGTCCTGGAGACAAACAGGATCTCCCATGGAGGGAGCGGGAAATGCTGACATCTGAAGGGGATGGGGAGTGGAGGGGAGGGGGACACAATTCTCACTGTATCCTCTGTTCCTCAGAGATGGTGTCCTACCCTAAATTTCTTTGCATTTTCAGCCCATGAGCTGCACCATCATTTAAGTTTTGAACTGAGAAATGAAATCAGACAAGATACCTAAACAAGATTCTTAAAGAGATACAAGAAAAAGAGATCCTGATGTTAGTAATTGATGTTAGAAATCACTGGACTCACTCGCACCACTTGATACCAGTGAACACAGACATTTTGTAGGAAAATGTACTTTGCCATCCTTGACTTGACTATTGACGTAAACTGAATGCTTTCTAAGCAAAAACGAACTATTCTTTTCCACCCCTGCAGGGTGCTCTGGTGGTGTGGTGGCAAAAGCATTGGGCTTCTAACCAAAAGGTCAGCAGTTCAAACCCACCAGCCGCTCCACGGGAAACAAAAGATGAGGCTGTCTGCTTTCATAAAGATCGACAGCCTTGGAAACACTAAGAGGCAGTTCTCTTCTGTCCTTTAGGGGCGCTTTGAGTTGGAATCGACTTGATGGTTATGGGTTTGGTTTTTGGATTTTCCACCCTTGGTGAATATCTTTGGTTTCTTAATATTTGCTTATTCATATAAATGAGATTGCACAGCGTTTGTTGTTTGTGACTGACTTATTTCACTCAGCACGATGTTTTCAAGGTTCATCCCTCTATGGCATGCATAAGGGCTTCTTTTCTCTCTTCGTCTCGACAGTCTTCCTGCTTGTACGTGCCATGTTTTGTTTATCTTTTCATGTCTGGGTGGACACAAAGGCTCCCTGCCACCAGGAGAGGAAACACACAGGAGATGAACCCCTGACCCCTTCCATACCTTCTGGTCTGACCAGCACTACCACTTGTCTGGCCCAGCCTGATCCTCTGTTCTTCTCTGGGCTTTGCTAGGTCCACCTCTATCCTCTCATACTGGTTGGAACAAGTTATTCCAGGTACGTCAGCCCACGCACAACCCAAATATCAACTGTGTCTGTCTTCACATCCTGAGAAAGCTCAGATCTGAGCCTCATAAAATCCAAGGTCTTGGAAGTGTTCCCAGGATTTTCTTCTAATTCCCTAGGATGGACGTTCTCAGAATCTCCATCTTACCCAGTTTAAACTTTCCTGTAAATCTATGTCTGCTTCATATCAACCCAATCATAGAACTGAGTTCCCCCCTCATCATCTCCCAAAGAGTCTAGTTTAATAAAATAAAAGACACCTCAGTGAGCCATGTGGCCTTGATAGAAGACTCTGTGAGATGACGCTGAGTAGGAAGACAGTAGACACAGGCACAGGAGATGGTCCACTCAGAGCAATGGGTCTTCTCCCAAAGCAGCCTTCTAGGCTGCTCTGCCCAGGAGCACTCTCAGCTGTCCCCATGCCCCCTTGTGGACTGTCAAGCTCTGCTCTCCCAGGTCCCCTCCCTGTCTCACATTCACATTCTGCCCCTCTGCTATGATGATCACTTTGTTCTCCAAGTCTATGTCCCACCTGCATATCTGCACCCATCCTGACTTGGAGAGTAGATGAACCTTCTAAGTTTTCACTTAGCAGGATTTCTGTATTCTTCATGTTGGAGTGTAATCCATACTGAAGGCTGTAGTCTTTGATTTTCTTCAGTAAGTCCTCTTCACTTGCAGCAAGCAAGGTTGTGTCATCTGCATATTGCAGGTTAATGACTCTTCCTCCATTTTTGATGCCACATTCTTCTTCATGTAGTCCAGCTTCTCCGATCATTTGCTTGGCATATAGATTGAATAAGTTAAGTGAAAGGATCAAACCCTGACCCACATCTTTCCTGATTTTAAATCATACAGTATCTCCTTGTTCTGTTCTCTTGGTCTGTGAAAAGTTCCACATGAACACAATGAAGTGTTCTGAAATTCCCATTCTTTGAGATATTACCCATAATTTGTTATGATCCACACAGTCAAATGCCTTTGCATAGACAATAAAACAGAAGTAAGCAAAAAGGGGAGACCAGATTTGCTGGTCCAATAGAGCCTGGTGGAACCACTGAGACTATG